TTTTTAATTTAGATTCATACCTCCAATAGATCCAAATACAAATCAAAATGATGGAATTGAAGCTCTGAACATTATTCGTAAAGAATCTGGTTGGGAAAAAATGAACCACATAAGTATAATTTATTTTGGTAAAAAATTCAGTGTAGATCAAATAATAAATGATGAAGTTAGTATGATAAATTTTCGAATAAAAAGAGAACATGTATCACAGTTATTAAGATGCAGATTCACAGAAATAATGAAAAACTATCGTACATTATTATCTGCTATGTTATATGTATGTGATAAATATGCATATAACTATTATNTTATCTGCTATGATCTATATATGTGATAAATATGCATATAACTATTACCATAATTGTTTGTCTAAATTATTTAGCTCATTTGTTAAATCGAAAAAAATGCTTGAAGATTTGTATGAAGCTTTAGTTACTTTAAATAAATCATCAATATGGTGTGTGAATTATAACTCTAAATCAAGTCTACATAAAGTTTTTGAATGGGTTGCAGGATATCTCAGTTTTTTCAAGAAGAATGATTTTTCTCTAAATAATATCGATGATAATAAAATCGAAATCCTTGAACAACTTCTAGTAATTTTTAAAAACAATTTTATATCCTTCAATTCTCAGTTATCGAACGAAATTAGCCATTATGATGAACGGTGTCATATAGATGAAAAATTTAAAAATGTTCAGTATTATGTAAACCATTTTAGGAATCCAGGAAATATATCAATTAATTTAAATCTTGAGTTTTTAATCCAAATTATGCTAAACGCATGTAATTTTTTTGATAGTTTTTGTGAAAATACGAGTAAATCTTGTTATGAAGATCTGGGTTTTGAAAAAATTTCACACTGCAAAAACAAAAAATTAGACAGAAAACTTCTATAGCTTATGTTTATTTCATTACGATCACAACTTGCACAATGATCTTAGACATTGTGATTGTTTTACTTTCGGACATAAATATATTGTTTCCGGAATATTTTATTTATATACAATTAACACTGTATAATTTTATTAAGCAATATAACCTTCAGTAATTATAATAATGTACTGTAATTATTGACTTAATTAAAAAACTATCTAATACTACATCATATATTATAAGTGTTTTGTATTTTGTATCTATTATATTTTTGCTATTTATTTCTCTAGTGAATATACTTTTTTTCATTTTACTATACAGGATGATCGAAATCTAGTAAGACACTTATTTTTTCAAAATCTATTGAAATTTTAAATTTTTTGTAAAAAGAAAAAATATTAAGTTTATAAAACTCTACAATAATATGAAGTTAAATAATTTTTTTTTTTATCCCTTTAAGGATAAAAATACTTATTTATAATTTTTTTAAATGGAAACCACTATTTTTGATTTGATTATATGATAGAAAAAAAAAATTACGAATAATTTTGTTCTTATAATTTTTTTTATCCGATCAACCGATTACGTTTTATAATTGTTTAAAGATTTTGACTTCTTGAAAAAATATTGTTATTTATTACGTTTCATAATGTTTGTGGCAATGCAACCGGTATTTTTGTTAGATCCTTTAGTCTTACAAAACCATAGACTTAGCTATTAATAATACACCGAAAACCCGGTTTGGATCTATTTTGTTATCACTCATTTAGTGCGTAGTAAATTTTTATAGCTAATTTATCTGTCATAACTTGATCAATAAAATTTGGTTTAGGCAACAATAAATAAAAATAATGACTTCTGTATTTAATACAGTAGAATAAAAATAGAAATTTAAACTAATATCACATAACTTTAACAAGCTTCTACGGACGAATGGTTTATCGGATAAAAAAAATTATAAGAACAAAATTGTTTGTAATTTTTTTTTCAATCATATTATAAGTTAAAAATAAGGGTTCCCATTTAAGAAAATTATAAATAAGCGTTTTTATCCTTGAAGGGACGAAAAAAATAATGATTTGACTACATATTAATGTAGAAATTTTTGAACTTGATATTTTTTATCTTTAAAATAAATTTAAAATTATCAATAGTTTTTGAGAAAATGAGTGTCTTACCAGATTTTAATCACCATGTATTTAGTATGATAAGCAATTTTATAAAGCAAGATAATATTTTATGCAGACTTAATATAACTAAATAATATTATTATTTAGTTATATTATTATTCTACGGGGAATTCGTCTATCTCAATCTACATAAATTCTTTTAAAATAAAAGTCAATGAAGGAGTAATTTTGGCGATTGGCCGAAAAAATTCCCAACCAATTGTTTTTATTATTTTTAAAGTTGAATAAAGATATGTTTAATGACATACTAAACGTCCTCATCGATTGGAATTGAGATTTTTTATTTTTCTCAAAAAATATTTATTTTACAAAAAAAAGTTTCGTTCAAAAGTTGTTTAGAAAAGAATTTTAAAGAAAAAAGATTTCTTATATTTTTTCATATAAACAAATATATTTCGAGTTACATTACATTTAATATGAGTCTTCTTCTTCTTTCTCGCCTTAATCCCAACTACTTGGGGTCGGGCACCCTTATCCCAAACCTCCACTTGACACAATCTTCCACATCATCTACGCTGACATCAACTGTCCTCAAATCGCATTCAATAGCATCCCTTCATCTCTTTATTGATCATCCTCTACCTCTTCTTTCTTCAACATTCATTTTTGTAACTGTTCTTATAGCTTCCGATTATTCACTCCTCATAACATGAACAAACCATCTAAGTCTATGATATCTGATCTTATCCACGATTGACGCTACTAGTCACTCCACTCATCCATCTAAGCATTCTCATCTATACTACACTCATTCATTGCTTTACTTTCTTATGAAAAAATAAGTAGGTTTAAAATGATTATTTTCAACATTTTAAAAATTATAATCAATAATAATTGAAAAACAATTAATTATAAAAATTATATATTATATTTTTTAATCTAAAAACTACTAATCTGGATATAATTAAGGAAATAGAAGTTAATGTTGCTTTTGTAATTATCAACCAATTTCTTAAATTTGAACACTATCGATATATTTACATCGAAACGTTTATTAGATAGTGATTTTAATTTCTGTCAGATATCATTTATACTTGTTCCAACTATGCCACATCCACACTGTGCCGCGACATCACTGTGCTTAAATTTTTTTAGCTTCGATGATGTTTTTTTTTTTTGTCTATTACCACTTTTTTCAGCTCTCACCAAACTTATTTCTTTCAATAGACATAATATAAGACATTACCTTCAAAAATTAAAAAAATTTCCTTCGTTCCCCGTAAATGGGGAAATGGTTTTCCGGAAACCTCCAAAAAATTTACAAATTTTCAATTATTTTTTCTTAAAACCGTCATAACTTTTTCAAAAATGACTAAATCAATATAATTGTTTTTATAGATACTTGATGTCTTTATCTATTATTTGGTATATATTTTTTATAAATCAACAGCTTTACCTGCCCACGAGGGGTTTTAAAATGACAACTTTTTCAGAAAAATTTAACTTTTTTAACTTAACTTTGAAAATGTTCCGGAAGATCTGACACTTTTGTATATATCTTAAATTAAATCTTATGTAATACACTTTATTATGGAAAAAAAAATGTCGGACTTTAGTTTGTCTTCACGGTGAAAATGGCTACTGAATGCTATTTTTGTGTCAAAATAATCAATTTTATTTTTTGTGTGAAAATTCTCGATTTTATTTTTTTAACTTTTAAATTTATAATGCTATAACTTATTGAAAATTGTATAGATGAACACAATTTTTTTATGAGAAATAATATTTAAATCCCTTTTTCATTCAACATACTTTATCTTAATCAGGACATTATTAATAAGGAAATTGCAAATTATGTAGCTTTTGGAATACTCCACCAATTTTTTAAATTTAAACATAAAGTCTGACACTTTTATATATATCTTAAATTAATGCTAATGTAATATTTTTTAATTTAAAAAAAAAAATTTGACCTCTGGACTTGTCTTCACGGCGAAAATCGCTACCGAATGCTATTTTCGTGTGAAAATTCTCGAATATTTTTTACATTTTTAACTTTATAATGCTATAACTTATTGAAAAATGTATTGATCCACATAATTTTTTTCTGAGAAATAATATTTTTTAATAAACCCTTTTACGTTCGACATACATAGTTTATCTTAATCGAGATATTAATAAGGAACCAGCAGATCATGTAGCTTTTGGAATAATACACCAATTTTTTTTAAATTTAACGATATCTAAAGATTTGCATCGAACTATTTTTTTGATAGTAATTTTAATCACTGTCAGATATCATAATACTTAATCCAACAATGCACGTCTCCACTATTCTATGAACCTCCTGTGCTTGGTTTTTTTTATAATAGAAATAAATGTCAATTAATATTTTAAACTTCAAACATTTAAAAAATTACTTTAATCTACTATAATATTTATATAATGGAAAATATTTATTATGAGCTTTTCTTCCTGGGTAGCTAGTCTTAAATAAGTATCTTTATAAGAGATAATATTTTATTGAGAGATTGACATCAATATTTTTTAAAATATCCTCTAGACAGGTGTTTTGACCAGGCTCAAAAATATTTATATCTACGTAAGGATCTTATCAATGTGGGTTTTTTTTTATTAAAACCACTATGTTTTTCTAACAATTTTAAAAATTAAATATGTATTTTAAATAAATTATTTTTATCAGTTATTATTAGGTCTCATCATATTAAAGAGTATAGTATAGTACAAAATATTTTTGTAAGTAACTGATGTTATTATCTCAGTATTTTAAAGAGAAAATCTATCAATATAGGTGATAATAGAACCTATACATCCTATAAAAAATTATTTAAAAATGAATTACAATGAAGCACTATACTTTATTTAAACATATTTTTACTGACGTAGAAAAAAGATTTATATTATTTACATATATTTTTTATTAAAAAAGTGATATTAAATAATAAAAAAGACATTTACTTATGTTCAAAAAAATCTACCTAACTTTTAAACGAGAAATTTTTCATATTAGAATTTTATTACAATGAATTTTTTTTCGTTTATTTTAATATTTATTGTCGTTTTCGTTTTGCAACCAGACAAAAGAGTTCATTGCGAAACTTATCATGCTATGTATGAAAATTATATCGAAAGGGTGGTAAGTCACATTTATTTAAAAATTATATCGTATCGAAAACAAGATTCAAATAATGATATGGATATAGACAAAGCTTTCCAACCAAATTCTAAAATGTTGAATTTCAGACAAAAATATTGTTATATAATAGATATTATTAATTTCAAGTACCTTCAAATACTAAGAAAATTCCTTAGTGTAATAAGACTTGTCCTCAATAAATGCCAGCAATTTTATCAAAAAAATGTATTGAATATTTTTATTCCTTATGTACGAACACTTGAAGCAGTTGTAAAAAATTCCAAAACTATGATTGAAAATCTACACAATGCTATGATGTTTTTAAGCTATATAGATACAAGATTTTTGTTTTCTGAAGGTTTCATACCTCATCCTATAATTGATGCAATCAATTTTATACATCCATTCGTCTTAGAAATAAGTTTGGAAACTAACTCTTTTGATCTCAACAAATCACCTTATGAAATCTCTGAAATGAAACTTGAGAATTTGACAGTATTTCAAACAGACGCATCCGAAAAAGTAGAATTTTTTTTTCAAAATTGTAACTCTATGGACATTTTTCTAACAAAAGATTTAAAAAATATTAAAATTGCGGAATTACCTAATGACTTATTGTCTGCAAGAAAAGAGATAATGAATAAGTTTTTCGACGAAATTATTGAAGTTTGGTACATAAACATAGGATTTGAAGAATTTCTCAACCCTAAAACAGCAGAGTAAGAATTATTACATTTAAAATTATTTTGTAAAGTATATTATAGGTAATATTTCAAAAGGTTTTTTAATAAATAAATATTTGAAAAAATAAAATTATTTCCTTATGAAGAATATATATATTAATTGTTATCTAAATATACCACACTAATAAAGTATGATGGCGTTAGGTACACACTAATTGGGGTGACGCTTATTTATAAAATTAAACAAGAAATCAGGGTAATTGATGCGAACAGGTCACCGTCATACCATATTTGTTTTGTTTTTATCACGACAGGTATGCCACTGATACCCTGCAATAAGTTTTTTTATTCTGCAACCATCTAGTGGACCGGATATTCCGTATTCATAATACGCCGCAATCTTTAATGTGTTTTTTCCTCTAAAACCCCACATTCGTATCGGTACGGCAACACTGTTGTTTTGACCGGTCCCTTCAACGTATGATATTGAAGGTTTTTCCTTTCTTAATTCAATCGTGCTCGTTTATTCGGCCGTGTTTGAACCATTGAAGTCATTTATTTTCTTTGACCTAAATTCGCGTTGTCGCCACAATTATTGAGTTAGCCATTCACCACGGAATAAACTTTAACGGTGTATTATACGGCCTTCCGTCTACCATTACAGTCTCCTATTGGTTTGACCGACGGGAAGTAGCCGCCTGTTATTATTGGTTTTTTATTTGATGCCAGTGTGATACGCGAGAAGAGTGTACACACGTTCGTTAATGCATTTCTGTCCGGCACACCAGTGGATGTGATTACTATGGGTCTATCGTATTATGTATGTCACTGAAACATCCATCGATTTCCCAGCAACCCGTCAGTGAGTAAATATTAAGAATTCTTTTTATTGTTTGTTTTAAAGGATAAACAGTCCACATATTATATATGTATTAATTAGAATACATAGGGGATATTTTGTTATTTATTTATTAGTAATTTGTTTTAATTTCATTTATCATTTGCTATTGTTTTTGTATGTTATATTTTTCGTAACGGAAAATATTATATTGTTATTTTCATATATGCGTTGTTCTTTTTTTTTCCTTTTTATCGATTATATTGTAAGTCTCAATTTCAAAATTTTATAAATTTTCACTCCTTTCACGAAGGCTAGATCATATTAGTTATTAGTCAACCTAATAGGTTACAAAATCGCAAATTGTCGATACTAAAGTAAAATATAGCCGGCATTGTACAGGTGGTTTATAATATAGTTGGTTTATCGAAAATAAATAAGTACTATTTAGTAATAATTTAATAAACGTTAAATATTTTATTTTTTCAATGAAATATATTCAATCATATTTTATGGTTTGGATAATTTATTTGTTTTTCATATCAAATATTAAATGAGATGAACTGAGATATGGATATAAGAATTTATTTTACAGAAGTCAAAATATAATTTGAATAATAGATTTATACATAATCATTTCCTTCATAAATATATACAGAATGTTTTTTTTATCATAATCCACTCAATTACTTACAGAATAAATATAAATTAAACATTTTTTTTTTGTTATGTTTAGTTTCACAAATAAAATATTGAGCTTCTCTGATAAATTTATTGTAAATAGTGATTATAAAATTTACTGACTGTATATTTTATTTTTTTTTATTTATCCTAAAATTTTCGATTTATTGAAGTCAATTTCAAACTTGCATTTTGAGCAAAAATTTTATGGCCACAATTTCAATCCTTTCAAAAATCAACTTTGAGGACCATAAAAAATAGGTTGAAAATTACATTTTGCACTTATTATTTTTAACATATTAAAGTAAAAATTAGTATCGATTTGTACACTTTATTTTTTTTTTATTTAATTACTCATTTGTCACTAATTAGTAATTATATCAAAAAATAGAAGTGATAGAAAAAGTATAATTATTGATTTGAAAACAACGCAAAAATATGATATAGAAAATTATATTCTTGTTTCTGATGAAAGTACTTTGTAAACCAGTGTGTTTATTCAAAAGTATCAATATTTTTTTTACATCATATTTTATTAAGCTCTTTTAATTTTTATACATACTAGCCTTAGAAATAACGAAATAACGAAATATAAAAACTACTTTAAATTTTTTATTATTTCTCCATATAAATTACAATATTAAATTATTGAACATAAATTTCATACTATATTTAATAACATACTATAAATGACATTTATATAAATAAATACATAATATATTGTACTTTTATAATATTAAAAAACTACTAATCAGATTTAATTAAGGAAATAGAAATTATTGTAGCTTTTGAAATAATTTAGGAGTTTCCTAAAATTAAACACTATCAACAGATTTGTATCGAAGATTTTAATCACTGTCAGATATTATGTTTAATTTTAGCAACTATGGCACATTCATACTTTGCCACAACCTCAATGTGCTACTATTTTTTTTTTTAATTTTGGTCTCGTATATATAAGAATTATTTTTATGCGCAGTAAATGCTAGATGTTAAATTAACTATGTTATTTATGCAAAAGTATGAAAATGCTCGTAGATATTTATGAAAGAAATACTATTAAAGGATTAATACTTTTTTAAATTGACATATTTATATAATTAAAAAAATCTTTACCGAATTTATTTTTTTATTTATTTCCTAATAACTTAACAAATAAACAATAATTTATAAAACAAATTTTATATTTCAATCATATTTAACTACTTAATTTGATATAAAAAAATGTTTCATCGTCACTTTTTAAATAAATTAATTTTTTTATGTATTTATTAATAATCAATATATATTTTTTAATTTAGATTCACACCTCCAATAGATCCAGATACAAATCAAAATGATGGAATTGAAGCTCTGAACATTATTCGTAAAGAATCTGGTTGGGAAAAAATGAACCACATAAGTATAATTTATTTTGGTAAAAAATTCAGTGTAGATCAAATAATAAATGATGAAGTTAGTATGATAAATTTTCGAATAAAAAGAGAACATGTATCACAGTTATTAAGATGCAGATTCACAGAAATAATGAAAAACTATCGTACATTATTATCTGCTATGTTATATGTATGTGATAAATATGCATATAACTATTATCATAATTGTTTGTCTAAATTATTTAGCTCATTTGTTAAATCAAAAAAAATGCTTGAAGATTTGTATGAAGCTTTAGTTACTTTAAATAAATCATCAATATGGAGTGTAAATTATAACTCTAAATCAAGTCTACATAAAGTTTTTGAATGGGTTGCAGAATTTCTCAGTTTGTTGAAGAAAAATGATTTTTCTCTAAAAAATATCGATGATAACAAAATCGAAATTCTTCAACAACTTCTAATAATTTTTAAAAACAATTTTATATCCTTCAATTCTCAGTTATCGAACGAAATTAGCCATTATGATAAACGGTGTCATATAGATGAAAAATTTAAAAATGTTCAGTATTATGTAAACCATTTTAGGAATCCAGGAAATATATCAATTAATTTAAATCTTGAGTTTTTAATCCAAATTATGCTAAACGCATGTAATTTTTTTGATAGTTTTTGTGAAAATACGAGTAAATCTTGTTATGAAGATCTGGGTTTTGAAAAAATTTCACACTGCAAAAACAAAAAATTAGACAGCAGACTTCTTTAGTTTTTGTCTAATTCACTAAGATCTCAACTTACATATTATTCTTTGAATTAACAATTGTTTTAATTCCAGACATATACAGAGTGATTTTTTTATCATAACTCAATTACTTAAAGAATAAATATAATTTAAACATTTTTATTTTTGGTTATCTTTAGTTACATATTTTCCTTGAATTATTAACGGTGTAATACTTTTTAAGTTCATCCTTATGCCTTGTAAGGGTATCAACTTTGTATTTTTAAAAGGAAAAACCTATTTTGAATTCATTAAAATGTTTGATTTTTAATTGAATAATAAATGACATTTGAATTTTTCATATAATTTTATTCGTTTATTAGACATAAACTCTTAAATTTTCAAATGTTTGAGTAGGTATAGATGTATAATATTCAAGGGATTACAAATACAATACAAGAAATTTTTTCCTTATTAAATAGGTGCTAAAATTATCAGAAAATATTGCGTGTTATCGAGTATTGCTATCGTTTTATTTATAATGCCGGACGTAAAGCGGATCGAAAAATAGCGTCTTTAGAGTTCAGTGAATTAAGTCAAGCGAACATAGGACTGATAAAGCATGTACAAAATTATTACTTTTCTTCTGAAATAAAAAATTTAAATCACCCTACGCCTTATCTTTCTTCTAAAAGTCCATTATTTCATCTTAGACCTTACATGGATGAAAATGGTGTTTTACACGTAGGAGGCCGTTTAAAAAATTATCTTTCCATCGATATTTATCAGCGGCATCCGATTATTTTACCACATAAAAGCACATTTACAAGGTTATTGTTTCAATACGAACACGTCAGTCTTTTACATAGCGGCCCTCAAGCTATGCTAGCATCGATTCATCTAAAATATTGGCCTATAGGAGGACGTAGTATTGCACGAGATGTTTTTAGAAAATGTGTAATATGCTTTCGTTTAAAGCCAGTTGTAGTTCAGCCCATTATGGGCGATTTACCGACAAACCACGTAGAACCAGTCCCTCGTGCGTTCTATAAGTGTGGTGTAGATCTTGCAGGTTCTATCTATAGATTCTATATAGAACTTGCAAGATCTACAAATGTATTGCGAAGATCTCAACATGTAAAAGGTTACATAGATATTTTTGTGTGCTTTGTCACAAGGGCAGTTTACATAGAGCTTGTCAGCAATTTAAGTACAAAGGCATTTTTTAATGCATTAAATCGTTTTTTTGATCGTCGAGGCAAAAGCTATACTATTTACTCAAATAATGCGACAAATTTCGTTGGAGCTCAGCGTCATTTGAAAGAAGTTTACGATCTATTTTATTCAAAAGAGCACCAAGACGCCATAATTACGGAGTTGTCTAAGCAGGGCGTTCAGTGGTGCTTCATACAAGCTCGTTCCCCTCATTTTGGCGGGTTATGGGAGCATACCGTTTGCTCAAAGAAAAATTTATCATATAAGGTAATGGGTGAGTCATATTTAACTTATGAGGAATTAACAATAGTATTAACGCGCGCTGAGGCTTGTCTTAACTCACGACCTATAACTCCTTTATCCAACGAACCTCTTGATTTATCTTATCTTTCTCCTGGTCATTTTTTAATTGGCGACTCCCTTATGGCAGTACCAGAACCAGAGTCCAACACTAAGCAATTAAATCGGTTGAATAGATGGCAGCGCGTCACTCAATTATCGTTGAATTTATGGAAACGTTGGAGAAAAGAGTATCTTGGGAATTTGCAAGAGAGGGTAAAATGGGCCAAAGAGAAAGGGCCTCGATTAAATGTTGAAACGGTTGTCTTGTTATGTGGCGACAACTTGCCCCCTCTGAAATGGAGTATTGGGCGTATCGTGCCCGTTTGAGGGTAATAATTCATTTCCAGAAGTTTCATCTCATTAGGTAGTCAAAATTTGTAAAAATATGTTGTTATTATCTGTTTGTTGTCAATTTATTCTGAAAATTTTTACTGTCTATGATTTAGTAATATTTTATAGTACCTCTTTCTCATTTTGGTTTGATGTTTAATTAATTTACATATATAACATTAACATGTTTTTTTACAAGTAAGACGAAAATTGATACAATGCATTTAACTATTAATAGTAGAATAACAAAGATGACAAAAATAATATATAGATTTTCTTTTGGTGAGGAAGGATTTTTAAAGTAATTATTAATTGATTTATGATCGAACCGCATACACTACAATGTAGTTAAACAGTGTGAGTTTTTTGACTATTTCTCTTAAATGTTTATCTACGTTTTTGTTCGAAAAGGATCATGCCTTTGTAAGAATATAATGTATAATGAAACAAGTTAAAATGTACCATTTCTATGGATAGAAGTGGTGACTATTTGAAATGAAAAAGAATATATTAATAAATACTAAAAAGATAGCATTGTTCAGTACATGAACAGGGTATTTTAGTGTTGTCTCGTATAAATAATAGTGACGATTATATTACGACAACCAAAACATAATATTTTCGCATAATACTATTACAACAATATGATCAAATGATATTGCAACCATTAAATTGCGGGTCGTATGTTCATATAAGTCTATAAATATTAATTTGTTATAACTCCAGGTAGGCATGGGTGGTTTTTGTACGTTCCTTCTCCTAATAATATATTCTTCTAAATAATGTTAAAATTATGTTTCTATAACATTATTATAGTATAAAATGTTTTTATTAGACTTCCTACAGAACGTTATTCTGTAGATATAAAAATAACTATTCAAAATAATAAATATCAAAGTTAAAAATCACATTTATAATTATATATATATATATGTTATATAATTGGTTTAGATGTAAATCTACTGAAGTAGTAAATACTAAAAAAAAAATTTCAATATAAAGAATTTATGTCATCTAGTTTTTTAAACAAACTAGTCTTTATCACCGGGCCATGCTTAGTAAAAATAAAAGGAAACACTGGACACATAAGTCACTTATTTTGTTTTGTTTGTGTGACAACGATCATTGTTTGGTTCGTAATAAAATAAGCGGCTCGATGCCAATTATAATTGGTTAATAAGTATTAACTGAAAATTGTGTTGTCTACATCATTTAACTCAGCACCTGTCAACTGGCTCCTTGGCGAGGATTACAAACCGCATTAAATTGTCTTAATGAAAGAAAATCATTTGTTGATTTGATTTTTATTTTATTACTTTATTTTTTATATAAAAAAATATATATACTTATAAATTGTCACCAAGAAGCTCATAACAAATAGAAAAGACATCGGATTACAAATCAATAAATCAGAGACTAAAATTATGGTAATATCAAGATGAGAAAATCATGTTCGGCAGTTTGAGGGCGACCTACAATACTGCCGATCGTGAAAAAAAAATAAAGTAATTATTAGACCAGTTCTTTTGTATGCATGTGGCCACAACTAAAAGAGATAAAGATAAAATAGCAATCTTTAAAAATAATATTACAAATAGAATATAATATAATATAAAAAAAGAATTACACAGTTTTATAAAGAACGGACATAGTATCAGTATTACAATACAGAAGAACTGGATAGGCTGACCATGTATCGAGGTCGAATAATCTAATTAATGCAGAATATAAAATGGAAACTCATTGAGAAAAGACCGCCAAGTAACCAAATCAAAGATAGATAGACAAAGTAAGAAAAAACCGAAGAAATTGGAATACAAGATGGAAAAACAGAAGCACGGGTCAATTTAATAGGGACAGCTATTACGGTGGGGGTGGAAATGAAATAAATTATGATATAAATTTCCGTTTAGAAAATCTTCATTCCTCCTGTCATCATAGATTAGTTAAATAATTCGTTAGAACTTCTTAAATAAACTTTGAAAAAAATTCGGTAGATTTATTCTAATATATTTTTTGGGTGAGGAAGAAAACAAATATCGACAAAATGTGTCACTTTGATCACGTTGACAGATTTCAAAATTAAAATTAAATTAACATTATAGTGTAATAAACATGCTATTTTTATGTACACATTTTTTTTTTTGTTTATTTTTTAATACCTTACAAGGGTAAGCTATAGTAATGAGTCCACCAGTTTTTATAAAAGTTATATACACTCAACTTACATTAAATATAAATTTATAATTATTTCAATTTCTTTTCCACCTCAAAATTAAGTAACAAAATGAGTGATCAGAAACTTATATAATTACTACTAACAGTAAATTTATAAGGAAACCACAAAATTTCGATGAAAACATATTATTGTTATAAATCTTTAAACAAAAGTCTTAGTAACTGCATTTCTATGCAACTCTTGGTGTTATAATAATTATTATTATTGATGTACTGCCAATCATATATTCTGCTTATTACGTATTTCTCAAATTAAAATATATTTATTTATTATTCATACATAACATAAAAATCAAACAGAAATAATTGTTATATTAATTATAAGGATTTTGTTATTATTTAGTCAATATGTGGAACTTTAATTGCAGATTTGAAATAGGCGCAAAATGGGTTTAGAAAAGTATATTTTAATCTGTAATGAAAATTCCTTGTAGACAAATAATTTTATTCATTAATTGTTTAGTTAATTATTTAAGTAACAAACAAATTTTTATATAAAGTATTGCATCAAGCCTTTTAACTTTTATACATGTTTGTCGAAAAATTAATAACTACTTTATAGATTTTTTTTAATTTCTCCGTAAAAATTACACTATTTGATTATAAAATATCAGTTTCATACTCAATTTAATTGTTATAATGAATATTTATTCATAAATTATACTATCAAATCTATGAATCAGGGTATAAATAAAGAAATTAGAGTACAAATGCTTCTAGAATAATCCATCAATTTTTTAAAAATAAACACAATATTCAGATTTACATCGAAGTATATCTTTTGATAGTGATTTTAATTACTTTCATATCATCTATAATTGTCCCACCTACGCCAAGTTCACACTGTGCTAACGTTTTTTGTTTGTTTCTGTCACTACTCTTAATCAGCTATCACTACATACACTTTACAATCATTAAATGGATATTCAAAATGACCATTTTTTCACAGAAAATTAACATTTTCTCAACTTAACTTTTAATTGTGTTCCGAAAATTAAAGTTAATTTAATATATTTTGTTATGGAAAAAAAAAGTTTGAGACTTTGTCATTACAGTTAAAATGGCTATCGTATGCTATATTTGTGATAAGATTTTCGATATTACATTTTACATGTCTAGCATTATAATTCTATAAATCTTTGAAAAATGTATGGATCAATAAAGTTTTTTATGTTAAATACTTGTTTATATACGCTTTTGAAAACTATCGAATAACTATTCAAATTGTGTTTATACAACCGAATAGTTTATTTTAAGCATAAACTATCGAATAGTTTTTAAAACTATTCGAATATATTGTGTAAGTATCGAATATTTTACTATTTGAATATTTTTTAAATGACTATCGAATAGTTCGATAGTTTCTATTCGATATTTCCCATCACTAATTAATACCTTTTGTACAAGATTTTTGTATTTATTTACTAACACGTTGAATATTAAATTCCTCACTATTGTGATGGTGTCACGTTTTCATAATCGTGAGAATTATTTTAATAAAATACAGACAGCACATCCGCTGCCTGAGACTGGTGAATTAACAAATAATATTTATTGCCAAATCGGCAATAGGTGTAATTATTATAAAAACCCAATAGACCTGACCATCGTGGTCAGTCGACTCCAGTGCCTTGTGTCATTCATCAGTCTCAGTACTCGGTTGTCGCTGTCCGGCTTACTGTTTAAAGTAAAGTCTTTGTTTATTCCTTTTCTAACCTATATACTCTTTTCCTCGACATTTCAGAGTACTTGTGTTTTGCACTTCGTCTGCTCCTCGTACTCTGTTATCTTTCCTCACCTGGTACGCCTAGTATTTGTGTCTTGCACTTCGTCTGCACCTTATACTCGGCTACCCCGTTCTCTCTTTGGAGTACTTGTGTCTTGCACTTCGTCTGCACCTCGTACTTCATTGTCCTCTCCTATACCCCAAGTATTTGTGTCTTGCACTTCGTCTGCACCTCATACTTTGGGCTCCTTTTGCGTACACCTGGTATTTGTGTCTTGCACTTCGTCTGCACCTCATACCTAGGTGTTACTCTTATTCTCCCTTCCTATAACAACAGCCTTTCGACACCCACAGCTAACCCGGAGTGTCAGCCGAGCACGGTGACTGCTGTACGACAACACGCACGTGAATACCTATACAGCAGGCACCACCTCCTCATATTCTTCTTCGTACACACATTTTCACATTCACTTTTTTCCACCTTTATATCTATTTTCTCTTTCCTGTGTTACGACACTATATACTTTAATTTACTAATATTTTTGATATTTATATTAAGTTTAGAGTAACTTCACTTAAATATCTAGATATCAATATAAAACTAAAAAAAGTTTTACTTAATTTTCATAATTTTATATTTTTTAAAACTTTATCTCACTTTTATGAANTTCATAATTTTATGATGTTTTTTAAAACTTTATCTCACTTTTATGAAAGATTATTTACTGTAAAAAATTAAGCATCTAATGGTTTCATATCAAAATAATTTTGTACAATTAAGTGATTCCTTTAATGAAAAATAAAAATATAAAATTATTATACAGGCTAAACACATTTTCATGTTTTATATACAATATAAAAACAACTATTCTGTTTCTATAGAAAAAAATAAATAATTATTTATTTATTTGATAAATTTACATGGAAATTACCTGCATTTACCTATGTATTTCTAGAATTTTCGACTAATGAAAGATCATATTGTATTATATTCATTTTTTCTAGTTAAATTGTAATTTATTTAAAGTTGGAAAAAATGCATTCGAACAACGTGACAAATACAATTTTATTATTTGAAAAATTAATAAAAAGCGCTGAAAAGAGCAATGTAACAAAAAAGATTATCACAAGAACAAAAAAAATTGAACATAATTTTGATTTAAATCGGCCAAATCAAAAAGATGATCAAACAATTATATCTAGCGACGCCAAAGCTCCCAATTTTACAACTCCAGTAATCAATAAAAACGGGGAGCTCAAAAAGAAGAAGTTTAAAGGTGAGTCAAGGGTACATTTAGTTTAATTGACTAGTGATAAAGATAGCAGCAGCCCCATTTCTGAACGCCAATTAAAAATTAAAATTGCTAATAATTTCAGAAATATTGATCCAAAATTTGTAATTCACTAGTCATTTTTATAAAATATTAAGTTGCCAACCCTATAAGTTGTAATACATGATTCTAAAAGTAATTAGTAGCTGATAAATAATGTAATATAGGCAATTATGATATTTAAAATTGATTTTAAATGTAAATGAATACGGTTATATTAATCTTATTCTTCTTTTTAAAATATATAGTATTTATTACTTCAGATAAGGCAATTCCAATTGTCAAGTATATAATTATATTTAAGTATAAATAATAAATAAGCAGTTATGCATTTCATTTTAAAATTATAAATAGTAATTTGTTTTAAGGAATTTCGAACAAAATTGCTTTTTTTGAAAAGAAAGCAACAACAATTAAGAATTCTAGCAATACAGTGATCAAAAATCAAAGGGAAAATCTATGGGGTAGATTAAATAAACTAAACCAAATTAAAGAAAAACTTCATGTAGGAGGTANAAACTAAACCAAATTAAAGAAAAACTTCATGTAGGAGGTAATGGTGGTCAATGCGTACTAGGAGGAAGACAATATAAACACGACCAAGACATTACAGAGGAAGAATACAAAAATGATATAGATGGTAATATAACTAATAACATAATAAA